CGTGTAGTGTATTCCAGCCTTAAGTCTGAATAATAATATTGATTAAAAAAAATCGTACTGACCCCAAACTATTCCACTGAATTCAGACAATTTTTTCCTGAAATCACTGCAGAAGATGCTAAAAGACTTTCCATCAGATTTTGCCGGGGCTCAGTGTAACGAAGAACAAGTCCAACCACAAACACTGAGTAAACCACAGAATATCCGCCTGACAAAGCGAGGTACAGAGCACTCACACAAGTTGAGACGCAGTGTTTATCCTGTAGCCATGACTACGGAGCTCTGCAGAATGATACCATTGTAGACCCAAATCTCACCAACTTGTCTCAATAATGCCTGAGAGAAAAGACCAGGATGAGTGATAAAAAGAGGGAGAGGAATGAGCGGCTTGTGTGGCCATTCAGATCTGGAGAAAATTAAGCCGTCTGCTGCAGGCTAACAGTAAATCCCTCTCCTCTCTCAGACTGGGCCCTTCTTGGGTCTCCCATTCAGCTCACAGAGGAAAAGTCTAAGCTGCTGTTTCTTACCTTTAAAAGGTAAAATGGAGAAGGAATGTGGAATATTTGACTTTCTCTTGGAAATGTTTGCTTTTACACTGTTTGAGACTTCCTTCCTGGGTCAGCACACTACAGGCACTGTCAGACTTATAACTGAACATTAGTCATGATGAACACATGAAACCACAGCCTCCTCTAATCAACATCTTTCTCTCATGCCGTGCCATTGTTCAGCTGAGTTTAGCTAGAGTGACGGCTCTTGGAAAAATGATACTGCGATTGCTCACGATGATGGGTGGTGTGTGTTACTGTGCGGGTTTAAATGGGGATCCTAATGATGTTATGCATTATTCAGCAGAGAGAGTCTGCAGGATTTTTGTGGGCCTCAAGGGAGCTTTTCCCCAAGCTCTAGAGCCTGCTTTTTGATTGATGCCTTCTTGGCACCTCAATCGGAACTGTTTGAAAGGAAAAGCATTCTGTGTCTTGCTTTTGAAGGCTGTCCTGCTGCCAAACTGTAAAAAAAGACCTTCACTCATCTCAAATTCTCCAACAACCATGGACATAATTAGTTGAGAACTCCTGGGTTCTTCCTATTAAAAGAACCCTTTTTTTTTTAGAGCGAAGAACATTTAAATAATCTAAATAAATAATGAAAGAAAAACTGAAATGCTGATTCCAATAAAGAACCTTAATATTTAAGAGTGTAGCTGAATCTGAACATACATCAAAAACCAATGAAGATCCCACAACCTTGAATTCACTTACTCTTGAAGAGGGCTGTTAGAATGTATTCTGCACAAAAAGTGACTCATATATCTGAAATGACTGATGTTGATGAAGAACATTCAGGCATGCGGATGATGTTTAGACCTGGTAAACATCAGTTGAACTTTCACTTCAAACAACACAGATTCTGGAATTTAGATTTGTGTAATGTAAAATAAGTTTGTCCTTCTAATGGATCTAATGTATCAATGCCACAGTAATTAAGAATGTTTTCAGAGCTGGAGAAACCTAATTAGCTAGACTAATGTCTGTTCTTACAGCTCCAGATATGGATCAGTGTATACGAGACCGGCATAAGACACTCATACTGATCTGAGCTTCAAGATGAGAGTCAAAAGAATTTCATTCTCTTTCTCTTTTCAGATGGTTGAGATGTGTGTGGGGGAATCTCAGTTCCCAGGCTGAGTTACAGCACTGATAACAGTGTGGCACAGCACAATCGCCGTAAATGACATTTACTTGGCTATATAAACAGAGAAAAAACATAGCCCAGTGATTCTCAAACATTTCGGCTCCCAGGCATTGTCCAAGACAAAATCGAAGGTCCTCTTATCTGAGCTGATATGTACAATCTGGTACTTCTATTGTAATAAAACAAAACTCAAAAATATGATGGCATTAACAGAAGAAGCAGTTAGATTGTAAGACATGGTGCTTCTACTAACCAGCTTTAAACATAAAGTGTAGTCACTTGGTTTGCCAAGGATTTCTGCCCAGTAAAATGTTTTTTTTTTCTCCCCAAAAATATAACAGTGAGTTTTTGTTGCCTTAGCTTCTGTTGATGCCTTTGATTGTGTCCCAATTATCACTTATCTCTTGTGGCTGGTGGTCCTCATCCCCTTTTGGTAACCTCTCTGTTGCTTTGATTTCTTGTAACTGTTAGTGTTTTGTGTGTAAGAAGTTCTTTCTCATTGGTCCTACATGACATCTTTAATCTCTCATCTTCTGTTTAATGCTGGTGGAATTACAGTATTTACCCACAGTGCACCTGTGTGTCTGCTTAGCTCGCAGCTGTGTCATGTTGTTTTTCAGTTTGTTCATTCCCATGTTCTTTATCTTTCTTACTCTCAACCTAAACATCTTCACTTTAACTCTGGCTTTACTATGGTTCCTATGTCTTCTATAAGTACCCCAGATTACTATCTACTGTACACATGTGCGCACATATAGGTAATCACACATAGAGGGGTCTCCAAGGCGGTGTCTGAATGTCTCATCCATCTCTCCTGGGTGACGTGCCTCAGTCACTGGATATGCTAGACTGAACTTTTGATCTTTAGTAACCCCAGTAGTTTTGTGAGGCCGTAAGTGGTACTGTAAGTAATACATCATGAGAATGTAAGTTGGGTAGAGCTTCTTTCAGGGCAGTTGTGTGGTTTGGGTGGCACTTAGTAAGATCAATGTCAGTTTATTCATAATCTATGGGAAATTAGTGATTATGTTCCACACAGCTGTTTACACCACGCTCTTGAGTTTATATTTTTTTGGTGCGTCAATCAATTTAATTACTTCACATATGAACCAAAGATCCATACTCAAACACACTGAAGAAGGCATAGAGCCGAAACATTTGAGTTTCCCATGTGGTGGTGAAGGAGGTAAAATAAAATGTACTAGCAGATTTAAAAAAGTTTGAGTGCGGATCTTTGGTTCATATGTGAAGTAATTAGTAGAGATCGACCGATATATCAATTTACCGATATTTTTCCCGAGATTTAAGCATTTTACAATAATCGGATATCGGTTTTGTAATATCGGATTCACCGATAAACGCCGTCATCTTGTGGATGTTTTGAGAATTGCGCGTAGGATCACCATTGCAGCACATCTGAGGGGAAACAAGACAACAACAACCGGCGTGCACGCGTACTTGATTTACTGTAGTTAGTAAACTTGATTTAACATAACAGCCATTAATGCACAAATTAGATGTATTACATAAATGCCTGATATGCAGTTTATGCAGCTTGGCTCGAAGAAATAGAGATGAACTCACGGAGTCATGTAAAATAATCCATCAAATCCTGTCCCAATAAAGACGTAACTTTGCGTGAATTAAATAATATGCAGCCATGAATGGGTGCATGTTGGAAATAAAAGTGCTGAATTTAATTCGTTCTCTGTTGTCTATATGCTCATCGTCTCATGAAGACGGAGTCACGTAGGCTAAGATAATCCGTCAAGTCCTCTCCCAATAAAGACGTAACTTTGCATTAATTAAATAATACAGCCATGAATTTCCTTTATTTATTTTCTCCATTTGAAAACATTAGACCTTCTACATTTATTTTGCTTATTGTTAATATTAGTGTTGCTTCTGATGCTGTTGTAATGTGAAGATTAAATTTAACATGAAAGACTGCTAATTTTCAACACTTTTTTTAAGATGACTGAAAGGAGGAAAAACCAAAGTGAAGTATGGACTTACTTCACTCAGTCATTTATTTACTTTATAACAGTAAATAAATATCGGTTCTGCATATCGGTTATCAGGCACATAAACATGCAAATAATTGGTATCGGTATCGGTTATAAAATATCAATATCGGTCAATCACTAGTAATTAGTGATTATGGAAATAATTCAATAACACCGTTAAGTGTTTTACAGAGAACAGGAGAGGAAGTTGAGATGAGCGTTATAATTGTCTTTACTGTCACTTAATTAATTAATTGTCCCTTAATTACTTTTTCACCATTAAAATGTAACATTGTGGATTGTGAAATATTCCCGTTAATAATACCCAATATGATTCCAGTGCATAACATACCACCACACTGAGATTTCAGGCAAATTTACCTGCATGTTAGCCCGGCGAGCACTGATATGATTGTTGCTTGAGATGATAGTGGGAGACTGACGAGATACAACTATAGTATTTGCAGTGAGCACAATCTTTATTTACAAAGAAACGCGCCAATGCTGATTATGTTGAGCCCGTTTCATTTTTTCAAGAAAGTCAGTGATGCACGTTTGTATTGCAGACGTGAAATGACATGCAGTGCACAAGTTGTATGGACTGTACAGACATTTTTACCATCTCCTTGCATAATTAATGATGGCATTTATGCTGATATTGATTAATCGTCTGTCAACCAATAAGCTCAATTAATTTAATTTTTAATGGACATTAACCAGTCACTGACTAACCATGAACATCCTACAAGCTCAACCACAAAACTGACAGAGGAAGATATCATGCTTACGAAGAGCAAATAGATACAGTAAATTTAGACTAGAGGCCTATTTCTTAAAATGTGGCCGGTGCAGCTGTTATTTTTAGGAGTGTATTGGTCCCTGCACTGGCTTCATGAGTCAGGTTTCAACGCCAGTCTCTGTTCTTCTCTAAAGATCGGAAGGCTCATGATGGAGACCACCAGGGACGCTGATCAGCTGTTTTCAGGACACGTGTAGACATGGTAGAAGAAAAGCTTAGTCTGGGTTTTGACAGACAAGACCAGGCTTGGGTGATTCATTTCCAGAGTGTGTCTATCTGTGCCTGTGCTGGACTTAATACCATTTTGCTAGTTTGATGGGCAGTATATTGCATTTCATGTAGGATGTCGGAAGATCTGTAGCCTAACTGAGGTCATCTTTAATTCTCATTGTTCGTATTAATAATAAAAAAATGTTGCTGTAATTATGTCAATACTGTTGAGATATAGTTGTAAAGAAAGTTTTTGTGCTTCCTCTGATTATTTGTATGTTTCTCTGCAGGACTCTGAATCTCTGGACAACTGTATTCAGAGCACACTTTCTGCTCTCTACCCTCCATTTGAAGCCACTGCAGCCACTGTGCTATGCCAGGTGTTAGACGTGGTTGAGACGACATACCGTGGGGACGGACTGCACTACATCATTGACTTCCTGGTGCCTGCTAAACACATCCTACAGAGCATTCAACAGGATGCATGCGTGAGTATCAAAGTTCTCTTTTTATATATTTGTTTGTTAGTTCGTTCATTCATTATTATTTTTATTTAAAAAAATTTTTTTTATTTTTTATAACATCAGAAATAAAAAGTGAAGAAATAAATTAATAAAGCTAAACTAATAACAAACCCCAAAACTAAGCTGATAAAATTCGTAGACATGCATTCACATGCATTCAACAGGATGAATGTGTGAGTGACACATTTCCCTTTCATTCTTTTCTTTTCTCTTACTCACTATTTAATGCATTCTGTCACTTATCTTAGTGTAACATTTACGACCTTATTGTGTGTATTGTCCTCTGGTTGTGTTTTGTCATGTCCTATTCTGTGTGTCATGTTTTGTTAGCTGAGACCCCACTCATCATTAGTCATCATGAGGGTGTACCACACACACACACACACACACACACACACACACACACATGTATGTTAAAACAAAAGGCACAGCAAGCCTGTTGACCTGAACGTTTGTGTTAGTGCTTCTTGTTTTGGTTATTTGAGAAGAAGCCCCTAGAAGTCCTATCAACACTGCAGAGCACTGGGATCTTTCCTAGCCAGATCAGTACAGATACACACACTCACATGCACTACACAGCTGTATACACACACATGTTCTTTACACTCGACTTCAGCTGCTGGTCCCTCAGTTACAGTTTTCTTTGTGACGCCCCCATATGCTACACACACAGCATACTTTACTCCAAGTGACAAGGAGTGGACAGGAAATGACGGATAGATGGAGATCGGGAAATAACAAGAGCCGGGCTCAAATTCACACTACAGAAAAGATCAGCTTTGACTAATATCAATCGAAAGGCCAATTGTAGTCTGGGTAACATGTATACATGCTAAACAAAGCTGTTTTTTTTTAGGTCTGTCAGTCTGACTGGTACAATATGGCATTTTAAAGGGGTCATGAATATGATATGATATATGATATAGCACTTTATTGTCAGACGAGTCTGAAATTTTTCTTGCATGACAGTATCTATGTTTACAACAATCAAAATCCTTAAAACAACAACATGCACTTCATCCACACAAGAATAAAACACATTATACATTACACTCCCTTAAACATTACCCTCCTACTACACTTATACAACTACACCACGTTCACAATACTCTTGATTTTTGATTAAGTGTCTTATTTAACTCTAGGATCGCCTGATGCACAAAAGAGTGTTTCAGCCTAACTTTGTTGAATCTTAGAACTCTGTACCTCCGGTTTGATGGTAATAATTCAAGGTCAGCCCCTTGAGAAGCTATATGATTCAGCTTATTATAATAATTTGTTAAGACTGGCCTTTTTTACTATTTTGTACTGTTCTCTGAAGTCCTCTTATGTTTTTACATCAAAAAACATCATAATTTAGAAGTAATAGGCTATTTCCTGTCCTGTTTTGACCCCTTCATCGAAACGCTCTGTTTGTATAGGCGTGGTGGATTGTAGACCATAAAGTTAAAAAAATTAAGTTCATCCAC